GAACACCATTTCAAATACCATTTTGATGTTATCAATCCTGGTGAGTTGCCCATCTCTCAACCACTGCCTCAATCAACATCTCCCCTAGCTTAACAAATCATACGCAAGCACTACTGATGAAAATCCTTCAATCATTTCTTGCAGGCAGGCATCTTAGACCATAAACTCCCTTTGTTGAGAACAAGATGCACTCTATAAAAGCCATATCAGTGTCTGGCAGCAGGGTAAAAGCACCGGAGGAAAGCTGGGCACACATTGGTTAAAAGTCTGCCTTCCTTCATTTTTTTGTGAGCCTGCAAGGCTCCAGCCACTGTAATAGTAGCCTGATTACAGCCTAAACTACTCCCGAGTCCTTGCAGATCTCTCAGTTTGCAGAATGATGGCACTGTACACAACAGCTGAGTACTCTGAAACTTTAGTGTTTATTTTCAGCCTATGATATAGACTCTGCCTTGCTTTTATGCAGGAGGTAAGCAATCTTCATTCCTGTCATAAGTCAGAGTGATAGATCTCATTAATTTTAGACGAAAGCAGTAGCCAATTTATCAGATAAGTTTTCAATTAAGTATAAAAGTTTGATTACATCCTGAAAACTATTGTTTTAGATATCTGAAGCATTAATGTTTTCTCTGGCTTCTCATTTATGAGAAAAGGAAATCCAATTCAAAAATTTTGCATTGCTAGACAATATATATTTATATACATAATAGCCAGGTGCTATATCCCTGTAGAAAATGACTCAGTGTGATTTTGGGATTAAAAAAAAATTAAAAAACCCTTGCCTAGGAAGGCTTCAGTGAAGGTCACTGAGATATTAAGTATGAAGGATAGCCGCTTAATTTTTTTTAAGTGTAATCAAATCTAATCTTGTCAGCTAAATCAGAGAGAGGAAGTGATCAGTTTAAGATACATCAGAAGATTTGCATAGAATGAAAATGAATCAAAATTAGTTTTGGTATCTGAGATGGCTAAAATGACAGCCTAATTGCTCGTGAATCAAACGTCACAAAGCTTGGTGTGTAATTTTAATCATTGATGAGATCCAGGTTAATTACGCTCATGGCACACATGCAATTTAAAAACCTTTTGAAATAATCTGATCACAAAGAGCGTGCAAACCTAATAATTCTCTAATTAGTCCAGAGACAAGCATGTTTACCTTCCCATTTGGTAAATCTGCGCAAACAGTGTATGCATCCTGAAGAAAGCCTACATGTCTAACACATTCTCCTCCTAAGGCCTTATCTACAGATTAAAAATTGCAGAAGGATAGTTACACCAAAAAGAAAATCCCAGCCCTTTCCATCTGTAGGGGACTGGTATAAATGTCTTCAAACTGGTACCTCTCAACTCTGACGCAAAAGGATAAACAATGCTGGTATAAAGCATTTTAACATGTATCCACTCAGCAAATGCACTCGTGAGACTATTTCAGTCACGCGTAAACACACATGCAAGCATGAAGACACACGCTCGGCTGGCACCAACACGCACACAAGAAGTTTTTTGGACTGTTGCAGAGGAAAAGAGATGGTGGTAGTTCTGTTTTGCTTTCCAGCAATGATACAGCGATGCATGTGAAGTAACTCTGTCCTATCCAGAACCATGAAAGGATCAATCAGGATGAAACCTCTTTAGCGGGAAAAACTAACTGATAAAGAAGGAGTTAATAGAGCAAATGGAGCCAGATGCAACTGCCTAAAACTATTCTAGCCCTATCTGTGGCTTTCCATTTAACCTTCGCTGTTGAAGCAAGCTCTACCCATACTGCAGTATATCACGGTATACCACAGCATCATAGTGTCCAGCACACACACAAAAACAGTCGCCAGAATAGTGGTGGGCATGCACACTATACTGCGACCAGGATGGCATTTATGAGCATTAAACAATTTTGGGCAGGTACAGAATGAGTTCTTCAGCATAGCATCTCACCCTTCCCCTTCTTCCCACAACCCTGCAATAAACAGTCTTGCTGCTGCAATTTCCAGTCTTAAAAAATTTAGCACAACTAAACTAGATTTTTAAACCTTCCATCACATAACCAAAGTAAAAAACAAAAACAGCACAGTAATAAGTGTCATAACATCTTTTCTGTTACTGAATCAACATTTTTAAGTAAACTGCACATTTATAGTTATCAGTCTTCTTACATAACTTCGGTATTAATCAGTACTAAACAATGACATCAGCCCTCTGATCACAATTGTATAAACAAGAGTATATTTCACTCCAATTAAAACAAATACTAAATCTTTGAACTGACCAGCAACACAGAGAGAAACCATAACGTATATTTCCATACTTGAGCTGTTTACAGTCTTTGTGGCCATGTTTGCTATCAGGTTAGGTAGATGAAATCATTATACCTTGATGAGGAATTAAAGATTACTGGGATGACTTACTGATTGTATGTAACATATGATGGAACATGCATCCATTAGAGGTTACAGCATCTTCAATATTGAAAAATAAAAAATATCTCCTCCCCACGGACCTT